TCTGGTCCTGGACACTGCCCTCTCAAACCGTAAATATAACATGATCCAAAAAGGGAGTCTGGTCCTGGACACTGCCCCCTCCAACCTTAAATATAACAACATGATCCAAAATGGGAGTCTGGTCCTGGGCACTGCCTCCTCCAACCGTAAATATAACATGATCCAAAAAGGGAGTCTAGTCCTGGACACTGCCCCCTCCAACATTAAATATAACATGATCCAAAAAAGGGAGTCTGGCCCTGCACACTGCCCCCTCCAACCGTTAATATAACATGATCCAAAAAGGGAGTCTGGCCCTGCACACTGCCCTCTCAAACCGTAAATATAACATGATCCAAAAAGGGAATCTGGTCCTGGGCACTGCCACCTCCAACCGTAAATATAACATGATCCAAAAAGGGAGTCTGGCTCTGGACACTGCCTCCTGCCACCTTAAATAAAACATGATCCAAAAAGGGAGTCTGGTCCTGCACACTGCCCCCTCCAACATTAAATATAATATGATCCAAAAAGGGAGTCTGGTCCTGGACACTGCCCCCTCCAACCGTAAATATAATATGATCCAAAAAGGGAGTCTGGTCCTGGACACTGCCCCCTGCCACCTTAAATATAACAACATGATCCAAAAAGGGAGTCGTGTCCTGCACACTGCCCCCTCCAACATTAAATATAATATGATCCAAAAAGGGAGTCTGGTCCTGGACACTGCCCCCTCCAACCGTAAATATAATATGATCCAAAAAGGGAGTCTGGTCCTGGACACTGCCCCCTCCAACCGTAAATATAATATGATCCAAAAAGGGAGTCTGGTCCTGCACAATGCCCCCTCCAACCTTAATTATAACATGATCCAAAATGGGAGTATTGTCCTGGGCACTGCCCCCTCCAAACGTAAATATAACAACATGATGAAAAATGGGAGTCTGATCCTGGGCACTGCCCCCTCCAACCTTAAATATAACATGATCCAAAAAGGGAGTCTGGTCATGGACACTGCCATTCAACCCCTCACATTTTCCAACAAATGCTATAGTTTCCCTTTTTCAAAAACCCTTAACATCTCCCTAGGTTACAGTCATTATCTGAACTAAACCTTCAGAGTATGTTGCAAGATTTTTAATTTCTTTGTGCACAACAAATCTAGAAACCCTAATCTAGATTTGTTGTAAGAAATCAGTCTGTGTGCTCATAAATATGTGTATTATTCACATACTTAACTAGTACTTAAAGACTTGGGGTTTTATTTATCATTTTGTTACACTGAATAAAACTAGCAGTCCAAATTTATTCAGATCATGCTGAAACTTTGCACAAAGATATGTTATGATCATATTAACAACATTCTTATTGGTGTTGTTAACTTCTCTGAGTGTTTTATCTTGATACCCCATGCTATTTGTGTAAAATGTAAATACATGTATGTCTTCCAAGTTTTTCATTACAATAAAATCACCATATTTTTGTAGATAAGTGCATTATAATCATATTAACAATGTATATTTTGATTATGATAACTTCAATAAGTATTTAAAGATATACAGTTTAACCTTTTCAGTGCCACACTACATTTCAAACATATCCAACAAAGTATTTACTTGTAATCTCATTTGTCTAGTTCTATCATTTATAAAGTAAAATAGATAAAATATCATTTAATTTAATTCTACATAAACATGTATGTACTTTCTCTCTAAAATGCAGACAAGGCATATTCAACTTTCAGCCTGCATACCCCTGCCATCTCTCAAACACATCACCTCTCATTGGTGATGTGATATGCATCAGATTTATTTGTTGATCAGCTGACACTGTCATATATTTCTTCACATAAAGACCAGAAGCTTAATGGAGAGGAATTTGTCAATCTTGACAGTGATACATATTCAGTACTGGAGCCCAGCTTTGCAAACATGAACACCTTGTTCTACACCAGTTACGGACCTTGTTTGAGGATCTGAGCAAGTGCAAGTCTTACTTCTTCCTCATATTTCCCCGATTTGGTAGAAATGAATTAACACTAGCAATAAAAAAAACTTTGCAAAATACTGCTATATTTCAAGTCTTTTAGGAATGTGGTTATATATATTGTTCATAAGTGATTAGCAACACACAGACCTGGTAATATGAATCAGTGATCAATATATGATTTACTTTCATGGGTCCTTTTCAACTTCATTGCTAAAACCAATGGTTCCAGCAATGTAAGATTTAAGTATTTCCAGAAATTATTTGAGTCCCATCAAAACTCTACAAGTAAAGGACTCAGAACTCGCATGTAGATTAATCACTGGTGAATTGCTATTTACAAACCTTTTAAAGACTTGATGATATTACTTAAAACAACTTGGCAGTGTGTCGGCTTTATCTACTCCATCCATTTGTTTGTTACAGAATTTCATGATAAAAGGTAAGCTTTTTCTCAAATCAGCAACAGACCAAGTTGGGAGGAGTCAGACAGCTTTTATCATATTCCTTTCATTCTTGTAGGTGGCAGTTAAAATCTCCCTATTTCTCATAAAAAAAACTTTCACTCAGGCAAATCAGGAATCCTGGTGAGCTGCTGGTATTTTCCTGTTAGACTGTAATATATAGAGCTGTTTCTGATAATTTATTTGCAAGATCTACACAACAGGAAAGACACTGTCACAGACAACATGATATCCTTTGTCCAATAAATAAGAGAGTTGTAAAAGATCCAAGACTACACCTGTTCTCTGACTTTGTCGTGGTGGAGCAGACTGAGGTACTTTCCCTAGGAAACAAATCATATAAACTATAACTCCGCTACAATTTTTTGTTTTGGAGATATTGCAACAATGTAGTTCTCCCATTTGTCCTTGGAGAACATCCTCTTTGCAAATTCCAGCAAAGGTTTAAGGTGAACATAAAATACAGAAGAGAAAAAAACATGCACACAAATGACGAAGTAAGACAACATTTGGCTCTGGCACTGAACACAATATACGGCTCAAAGTCTCCCAGCCAGAAATATACTGTACTGTTCAGTAAACGGATGAGTCAAAAGTTCCTTTGTTCTTTGTGTTTCTGTTAGTAAAACGAGATAAGTAGGCTACAGCATCATTTAAACATGCATGCCAATTTTGGAAAGTACAAAAATAATTTTCTATCTAATGCAATCAGATCTCAATCTGCATGCCATTAAAAATGAAAGTGTAATTGTCTATTCTATAGCTACGATGTTTATGTTGATCATGATGTTATGAAAAAGTGTATGGTAGACATTACCCATTTGTCTAACTATTTTCCAAATCAAAATCACATTGAATATTAGATTGAAGAAAGCAACTTAATATGCTGTCTGGTCAGGAATATTCATTGCCATGTTTAAAAACACAGCATTCTCCTATGATGATGTTCAATGCAACACAATGATGTCATTTATTTGGCGATGACATTCAAATTTATTTCAAAATGAAGATGAAATATCTTTTTTCTAAAGGGTTATGAATAAATCCAGAAATTCAAAACTTTATTTTTATACACCTGAATAACCTTTCATCGGCCCATTGGCACTCAACATATTTCTACAATTGACCATACATCATCCATGTCGCACTTAAAGATACGTTGAAGATGCTGCTCTAAAGTGTGATACATGACACTCATGTGTAGTTTTCTCTATCTTAAAATCACTTATGTTTACTGTGGTGGTAATCAGATAGTATGTAAAAGTCAGTACTTGCTACAACCAATGTAATGGGCTTTTTATATATACTGTCCCATATAAAAGATTAATCAGCAAACTCAAGTTGTATAACTTCTCAAAACAATTAATCTCCTGGATATCATCATTCCTAACAAACAGAAGCCATAAAGTACCAATGAATGGGGAAGACTCTGAATGGGGCAATGTAACTTCAGGTATCCCATAAGGATCAGTCCTAGGACCAATAATATTTGTAATATTCATAAATGATCTGCAAGATATTGTCAAATCCGATATGTACCTCTTTGCAGACATCACAAAGATATTTAAAATAATAGAGAATAAAAACCACTGCACTGCACTGCAGGAAGACCTGGATGCTATGTGTAACTGGAGTGATACATGGTTACTTAGAATGCATCCGGACAAATGTAAACATGAGAATTGGAAAGAAAAGTCAAAACATCTATATCACCTTGATGCTGCATACAATCTCAAAGGAAGAAACCTCCAAACAACAACCAATGAAAAAGATATTGGGGTGACCATTGACTCTGATTTTTCATTTGATAAACATATATGAAAGAAGGTTGAAAAAAAGCAAATTCTATGTTCTCTCTCTTAAGAACATTTCTCAATTTATGGACCTAAAATAATTTGCACCTCTGTATAAATGTCTTGTGTGGTCTCAGCTGGATTATGCTAGTCCAGTGTGGTCTCCATACCTATGTAAACATGTAGATATGATAGAGGGAGTCCAGCACAGAGCAACAAAGTGTCTTCCAGACATGAAGGATTTGGACTATAAGGAGAGATTGAAAAAAATTAAACTTCCAATAATGGCCTTCCGGAGGGTAAGGGGAGAACAGTTGAAATATGGAACAGTCTACCAGAAATAATAGTATTATTACTAGTGTATATACTTTCAAAAACGCCTTAGACAATCACTGGAAAAATCAAGAACTATTCTATAACTACAAAGCTCAAATAACCACATAATTTATTATATCGAGAACAGAACTGTAATTTTAATTCTGAATGCTATATTTATATGTCATACATGTATCAAGTTTTTGTTATGGAGTCCTGCACCAGAAATAAACTTAACTTATGAAATCACAGAGAAGAGAGGAAGTTATAAATTGATACAAGCAATCCTCCTCCTCTCCCTTGGGCCCGTTTAATTTTGCGAATACAAACAATGACAACGTGCGAGTGTAGTTGTCAGCGCAAATGTCTTTGTATTAATATTTCATGAAATTTGAGGTTCATACAGAATCAACTGTAGTAAATATATCTATTAAGTTAATTTAAGATATGACTGACAACTCACCTCTTTTCCAGTAAGGGTCTGAAAAATACAATGAAATATTATCACTCTCATTAAGAAGATTCAAATCATCATAATTTTTTTATAAAATCATTCAATAATATATGCCTATTGTATATGTAACTACCTTCACTTTTATCAACATTTTGTCCCGATATTTGAGACAATTTTCTCAAATTTCTGACCGGTTTTCGCTTGCGTTCGGTGTGTTTAATGATAACTTCCGGTTAAACCAAACTGTATGTAAACGCACATTTGATTGGACGTCCGACGTACTGTTCACAAGCTGTAATCGAATGCACTGAATAATAATGAAAAGTGTTCTAGAGTCCTTCAGAATTACGGAAATAGCCTAAGACTTTCTGATTTCGAAAAAAAGTCAGTGATCCTCGTTTCTCTTGTTCGCCTGTTTAACATAACTTTTTTTTTGTTCAAATACCAACAGGAAATTTTGTATATGTTTTCTGAAGACGCTTTATAAAGCTTTTTGCTCTTTTCAAATAGACCGACCAAAACATTTTTCTACATTACTTGAACTCCAACTTGGTTTGGTTTAAACTTTATTTTATTGAGATAATAGCAGTTGTACATATAAATGATACTTATTACAGGATACAGAAACAAGTACATAGTACTTATATTAATCCGTCTCCTAATGTAGATATAAGCTATGGACCCATATTGACTATATTGAATATATATATAAAATCTGCAGGGAAAAGAAAGAGAAAGGCTGCAGGGGTTGGGATGGTGATTACTAAGTGGCATTGCATTGGGCATTAAAACTGTAAAAAGGAACAAGGAACAAACGCAAGTTGTTTACAATCCGAGTTCAAGATACATACTATATTTGATATAAGTATTGGAACTGTACATTTGTTCATATAAATATTTACTGTATATAGTGAAAAAAGGAAAACAAGAAGAAAGAAAAACAATTAGTCACTGATACAAGAAAGCAATAAATGCAAGTTTCTTCAGAAACGTTTTGTCTGTATGATAAAGTTTTGAACACAATCAAAGATAAGTTCATTGGACTGAACAGATAATTCTGGACTACCATGGAGTAAAAGGTTAGCACTATAATTTAGAGGAAGGCGACTAAAACATTGAAATCTAAGCTGCTGGTAATTAGCACATTGGAGGAGGAAATGTTCAGTGGTTTCGGTAGACAGAATACATGAACACATTAACACATTAGACTATCAGCTAAGTTTCGAGTAAATAAGTGAGCAATCATTGAGCTACAGTTCATTCTCAGTCGAGCATGATGTATTTGGCCATGTCTGCTTCTGCAGTAGTAATAGTGTTTTGGGACAGAGCGAGTAGAGAGAGTGTCGGAGTTTAGAAATTTTTTGAGGTTAGTAATTGACGGATTGGATTTTTTGTTTTCTGGAAGTGAGTTCCATATGTAATGTTTTGTGATTTAATGTAACTGCAAAATAACTTATTATCAATTGATATTTATTAACGTGATTTCGGTATATTATGTAAAGCAAGTGCTCCTTAGTTTGTTACAAGCGTTACCTGTATTCGTTAATTCCTATTGTATTGTATTATTGTCAAGGGGTATAAGTTCGACTTTCAGTGACCGATCACGTGCACGTGACAGTCCTATAGAAATGTAGTCATGCGTAGCACACCTGTGAAGTTGAACGGGAGTACGACCTTATTAGCTAGGTTATTTATTACGGGTATATAAGGCCGGGTTGTTGGAACATCGGGGTCCTTCTCTCTTCCGCTGGAGTCAAAGCAGGAAGGCCTTGTTGATGGTGAGATATTATTGAATAATTGTAAAGCTCAAAGGGGAAAGCGCACTTCGCCAGACGTCCGGGATTGCCACAGTGAACAGTACAGGGGTTTGGCGCGGACGCCGGAAAGTTATTGGCGTAAGGGGTAACGCGGACGCCGGGAGCTGGGCCGAAGGTTACTAGGGCGCCTAGGAACGTATTGTGGGACGGGCGAGGATGATGGCGAAGTGTGTTCCTCCTTAGTTAAGTTGGCCTTAGTTTTGCCAGGGAACTATTGTTATTATTCGACGGCGTAACGTCAGCGTTACGCCCGTATTTTGCAGTTAGCGCCGGGCGCATTGACGCCCTAGTTCTCCCTTAGCCGTACTCCCGCTAGTAATGTAGTGTGTTTATAGTTGTGTTTTATGTAATGTCCGACTCGTAGAGAATATTAAATCTTTGTGTGTGTATACGATTTTTGTCTTCATTTTGCAAACAAACACGATTACTAAGGACGCCAACTTGGCAGGGAGACGCCTACAGGAAAAATTAACAGAACAATTACCGGAAAGGGGAGATAACCCTTACATTTTGGTGGCAGCGGTGGGATCTGTTATTAATCTAGCTATTAAGTAGCAAATGGCGTAAACTGAGATAGACGACCTAGCGGAGCTTTACAAGACGATGGACAAGATAGAGACTGAGTCCGACCTTGAAAGCTTACAAGGCGCTGGCGTAAGACGCAAGAAGCATTCATCAACCCCAGCGGAAGAGAGGATGCAGGCTTGTACCAGAGAACGCCCGCGTTATGCCGACGGCGCCCGCCATAAGGAAAAATTATACCATGAGCTATTGGCAACGTCAGAAATATCTCAAAAGCGACAATATGATGGTCAACCCCGACAGAAATCATTTGACGCCAGAAACGGTGAACTGCCTCATTTTACACAGCTATCAGAAAATTTGTCATTCACGGGGAGGGTTGCTGAAACGGATGATTTGTCTGCTGTATCGTATAATAGAGGATCCGGACCACAACCATTTCGTCCAAGAGTGACGGTATATAACGACACTAAAAACTGGCTTAAGGCAGAACCGGGGTGTGCAAAATCCGCAAGTAATAAAGAGCAGCGACCAATAAGGGCGGATAAAATCAGCTACGTATGACGGTTCAACGTCATGGATAGATTTTAAAACACATTTCGAAATGTGCGCCGAGATTAACAAATGGTCGTATGAGGAAAAAAGGAATGTATTTGGCTGTCAACTTACGAGGATTAGCGCAGGGCGTACTCGGTAACATGAAAACTACCGAAAGATCAGACTATCATTCGTTATGCGTGGCATTGCAACAGAGATTTTCTCCCGAAAACCAAACAGAATTATATCGTGCACAGTTAAAGAGTCGTTGCGCAAAACCCGGCGAAAGTTTACCAGAATTAGCACAGGGTATATTGAGACTTACGCAGTTGGCGTATCGTAGCTCCACACCCGAAATCTGGCAAATCCTGGCTAAAGATTCTTTCATTGACGCCTTACCTAGTTCTGAGTTACGAATACGCGTCCAACAGAGTAGGCCTGCTGATCTGAACGACGCTGTCCGGTCGGCGGTAGAATTAGAGGCTTTCGAGAAAGCTGAAAGATGTCGCTCAGATTATAAGCCACATGCCAGGGCGGCTGAGTCAAGTGATGTGATGAAGCAGGAAAAGAAACTGGACGCATTAACAACATTGCAATCTGTGGTAGAAGAATTGGCAAAAGAAGTCAAATCCCTTAAAGAACACCAACAACGGCCATGGAACAGAGGAGGGCGTAAATGTTATTTCTGCGGCGAATCAGGACACTACAAACGTGATTGTCCAAAGAGGCAGAATGCGTGCGCCGAAAATAACGCCAGGCGAGCTAATATTGGAGCAGGGTACCATCAAATGGAGGCAGGAATGTACGCCACGGCGGATGTCAACGGAATAAAAGCCGATCTACTTGTTGATACAGGTGCCACTTTGACGCTTCTTTCGCACGATATATATCAAGGGATTTCTGAAAATGATAGACCTGGATTACATGACTTTCCGCGAGATATTTTAACGGCAAATGGGGATCCTATGACAATTTTCGGGAAGTCGGAATTTTCGGTTACAATCGGCAATCATGTCGGCAAAAACTGTCCCGGAACATCTCCAGAAGCTTTACCAAAACACAATTGTCAATTTGGACGCGGAACAAGCTCAAGCCGTAAAAGAACTACTGTGTGAATATTCGGATTTGTTTTCTAAGGACGACCAAGATCTCGGCCAAACCGAAATTGTAAAACATAAAATCGATACCGGAAAAGGGAAGCCGATTAAACAGCCTCCATGGCGTTTGCCTTTTCATTCTCAAAAAGAAGCGGATCGTCAGGTTGATGAAATGCTTGAAAGGGCATCGTGGAAAAAGCAAGTGGTCCGTGGGCTTCCGGAATAGTCCTTGTTAAAAAGAAAGATGGCAGTACCCGTTTTTGCGTTGACTATCGTGCTCTGAACGACTTAACAATTAAGGATGCGTACCCGTTACCGAGGATCGATGATTCGCTTGACAAGCTTTGCAGCGCACAATGGTTTTCTACTCTCATCAGGGTACTGGCAAATCGCCATGGAACCCTCGGATAAACCGAAAACCGCTTTCGTGACAAGAAAGGGCCTCTTCCAGTTCACGGTGTTACCATTCGGTTTGTGTAACGCCCCAGCGACGTTTGAACGCCTTATGGAAGTGGTTTTGTCTTGATTACAATGGGAAGTGTGTCTCATTTACTAAGACGATATAATTGTACACGGAAAGACATTTATGGAGTGTATAAACAACATGCGAAAGGTGTTTGAACGTCTAGGCAAAGCTGGGCTCAAACTGAAACCGCGGAAGTGCACTCTATTCTCTCAAAAGGTGTCGTTTCTTGGACACGTTGTATCAAAGGATGGGGTAGAGACCGATCCAGAGAAAACTGCAAAAGTCAGGGAATGGCCGGTACCAACATCTCCAACGGAAGTAAGAAGTTTTCTAGGCCTCTGCAGTTATTACCGGAAATTCATCAAGAGCTTCTCGCAGATAGCGTCACCACTCAACAAACTGTCATGCAAAACAGAAAAGTTCGTCTGGACAAACGAATGCCAGAATGCTTTTGAATTTTTGAAAACAAAGCTTACAGCATCTCCCGTACTAGCACACCCAAACTTCGAGTTGCCGTTTATTCTTGATACAGACGCTAGCCATTCCAGTATCGGCGCAGTTTTATCACAGGTACAAAATAATCAAGAGCGTGTAATCTGCTACGGAAGTAGGTCATTAACCAAGAGTGAAAAGCGCTACTGTGTCACTCGCAAAGAATTGCTCGCTGTCGTGTACTTTATGCGGTATTATCGCCACTATTTGACGGGCAAACGATTTCTGGTTCGAACTGATCATAGCGCGTTGCGTTGTATTATGAAAAAGAAAGAACCTGAAGGGCAAAC